TCAGGCCGGGCAGTCTTTATACTCTTGTTCTTTGTCTCTGCAGCTTTTTATTTTGGTGCAATCTCATCTGTCAGCTCTTACTAATGTTTCCTTGGCTATTGGAGAAGCTCATTGCCCACATCATATCTTGTGGCGTTTCCCCGCTTTTCTCTAGTATTTTAAGGGTTCCATGTCTCACACTAAGGTCTTCTATACGCTCCGAGCTGGATTTTGTACACGAGAGCTAGGGAACTAGTGCCATTCTCTTGGGTCTGACTATCCAGTTTTCCTAAGAGCCTTTGTTGAAGGTTGCTTTGCTCCAGTGTATGTGTTTGGCACCTTGTGAAGAACCAGATGGCTGTAGTTGGAGGGATCTGTTTTCTTTAATTGGTCTAAGTGTCTGCATTTGTGTTACCATCATGCTGTCGTTGTTATCGTGGTTCTGTGATGATATGACTTTAATTAGAATATTGTAGCCCTTCTGTTCAGGATTTCTTTAGCTATAAAGGACCTTTTTTGTGTTTCCATATTCACTTTAGGATTTTTTTCGCCTATGAATAGAGTCTTTGGGTTTTGATGGGGATTGCACTGAACCAAAGGCATTCTTTTGGAAAAATGGCCGTTTTCATGATTTTAATCTTACCAATCCATCAGCATAGGTGGTCTTTCCATCTTTTAACATTCTCTATGATTATTTTCTTCAGTGTTTTATGACTTCCTGTAGTGAGGCCCTCCACTTTGTTGATTGAACTTATGATGTGGATCCCCTCTGTATGCTATGTATATGTTTTATTACCATTGGTTGATAAAGAAGCAGTTCTGGCAAATGGCTTAGCAGAGTAAAGCCAGGTGGGAAATATATATATATATATATATATATATATATATATATATATATATAGAGAGAGAGAGAGAGAGAGAGAGAAAGAGAGAGAGAGAGAGAGTAGGTGGAGTCAAAGAGACGCCATGTAGCTGTCAAAGGAGAAAGACACCAGAACCTTCCTGGTAGGTCACAGTCTCGTGGTGACCTGCAGATTAATAGAATGGGTCAGTTTAATATGTAAGAGGTAGGTAGGAATTTCCCTAAGCCATTGGCCAAGCAGTGTTGTAATTAATATAGCTTTTGTGTGATTATTCGGTTCTGGGAGGCTGAAAACCAACGCACAGTCTCTGTTTACAAGTTTATGACTCAGTAATGTTTTTGACAATAGAATTGTTTTCCTGGTCTCTTTCTCAAGAAACTCACACCGGTTTTATATTCTTCTTATTTGATCACTTATATTTTTTTAATTTCTAAGTGTTCTTTGATGGAGTGTTTGGTATCTTCTAGGTCTAGTGTCTTAATATTCTTTTGAATCTTGCTATTTCACCTACTTAAACAACGCTGTGGTCAGTTTCTGTGGAATTGTTAACGGTTGGAAGAAATACAGTTTTCCCCTTGACTCTACGTTGAGATCTGTGCCAGCGTTGGGAGGACAACACTTATGCTTTGACGTGAGGACCATTTTAGTGAGAAGTCTCTTGAAAAGGTGTCCTGGCTTTCCATCGGGGGTGTAGTGCTCAACCCAAGATTCATTTCCGTGTGTGGTTTCCCCACTGTCTCTCTGGGTGTTGTCAGTGAGACTTGGAACCGCTCTCACTGGTTTCAGGTCTGAGTGGCCCATGTTTTCACCTGATCTTGCAAATCAGGAAGAAATACTTGCTTAGCTATAGGAATGTCTACATCAGACAGAGGCCCTCTGAAGATACCAGAGCTTTGTTTGCACATCTGCTTTGCTCATGGAGTTCTAAGACTCAAGGGAATTTCACAGTGTCTTTGCAGAAGGTCTAGGTTAAGAGGGGATGGCGTTACATGGAGAGTTAAGTTAATGGATTTAACTATATAAGACTCATAGATAACTGGTAGAAGTTTGAAGGGAATTGTTATGGTGGAAGCATTCCCAGCTTGTAGCAACATTCAGAGACAGTACAGAATGAAGTGAGACCTCTGCAGAACAGCACAGTGGGCAAGAGATAGACTGAGGAGGCTACGCCTATGCAATAAAGTGTTTTGGGAAGGGAGGAAGCACTAAAGCATGTGATCCCAGAGTTTAGCACACAGAGCACAGAGATGTGGAGGACTATTTCATGAGCGTTCCATACCTTACCAAACAATCTGGGGGAAATCTGATCCTTAGATTCCGGGGGTTTAGTATTTGTGACTCGTGAATGTCTTGTCCATATTGCGGTATGCTGGCATCTGTTGACTCCTGGCTGCGGTAACAGGTGAAGTTTTTTTGGGAAAGATTATAACCTCTGCAGACCTTCTAGAGAGTGGCTAACACAACACCTGTGTTTACCATCAGGATGCCTCACCCCCTGTGTGGACAGACACTCTCTTCTCCCACTACCTTCACAAGCCCTTGGATAATTCACCCAAATTCTGAAACCTGAATCACCACAATGAGACTGACTCCAATGCAAAAACAAAGTCTTTATTTGCCACTTAACTTGGGTTCCTCCACTTGTCTAAGATGGCAGCAAGGACAGCAGCAGCAGCAGCAACAACAGCAACAGGAACAGGGACACTGCAGGAGAGACCCAGAGCAGTGAAAAAAATTTTTTTTTTAAAATTTTCTTTTAATAGGGGCAGATTCTCAGGGAATTCCAAGCCTCAGTGCTTATAATTGGCTGCCCCCTAGTGGTGAGAGGGGGATTTCCAGACTTCCAAGCTTGGAAATGGCTGCTTTCTGATGACGTAAGGAGCCTATTCAGGTCTGAGGGGGAATTCTCAACTGCCAGTAACTGCCTGATTAGCTCTGATTGGTCCATTTTCCCTGCTCAGGAATTGGCTGGTTTCTAGTTAGAGGCAGAAAACACTCCATTCTGGGACCAAACTGTGTTTCTTTTTCTGTTTCTTTCTATCTGGTTTCTACCTGGTTCTTTCAACCCTAATCTTTGGTATGTCCTGAATCTAGGGACTTCTGACATCTTTCAAGTTCTAGTTTCAGGGTCTGGGGGCTTTCTCTGGCTCTTGGTTTGGGGGTAAAGTGTCTCTTCCCCTGACTGTGGTCCCATTTTCAGGGTGTATTTCTTTCCCTGGCTCTGAACCTGGAGCCAGCTTGTTCTGGGGTTGTACTAGGGCTATAGACTCAATGAATCTATGGGACCCTGGGCCTCTCATTGGAAATTATTGGTCTTTGGTACCCAGATGTTCTTTTCCCCAGAGGTCCTGTCCATGCAACCTTTTGAGACTTGCTTCTTCCACTCAGCAAAATACATTAAAAATTTTCTTGTTGCTCATTAATTTTCTTCCATTTTATTACCACAGATCAGTTTGTTTAAGTGTACAATGGTTGAAAGGCATGTTGGCTTTTCTGGCTTTTAGTGATTATAGATAAATTTACTATAACTATTTACACACTGGTTTGATGGTATACCAATGCCTGTAAGAGCTTCAGGCTGGGTAGATCATCATCTGGACTTGTGTGATAGAGATTGTCATTCAAAGAGCATATTCTTTGAAACGGGGGATGGGTGAATCTCTTCTGAAGGAGATTGAAGCCATTTGGATCCACTGTCGGTTTCTACACATAACACCTAATATTTGGTATCAGATTAGTGCACATGGACATGAAGCATGATTAGGTGGAAAGGAAAACTAGATCGTGCAATGCTGGCAAGATATGCTAGACTAGGAGGAAACTAGTCACGCAGAAACTTCCTGAGAGAGTATGTTCTTAGGTAATCTAACCACAACAGTCACTGGGAGAGATGATGGTTGTTATACACTTGGTAGCTGAATCATTTCTTAAAGTGCATTTATCTCAGCACCACGTTTTACACGCTAAATATATGCAAATATTTTTCCAGGCGTATCCCAGTAGAGCTGGGAAAAATTCTGAGAGGAACTTCAAGGTGTCAAAGATGAATTTATCTGAGGGAACATAAAATATATAGAAAACACTAGAAAACAGAGAATTTTGTCAAAGTGTGAAAGACAATCTGTGAAAGACAATCAGAGGAGTGTTTTCACAGAACGTATAGTATCTGAAATGATGAGTAATTTGGCTGCTTTTAATGGTCTTTGTAAATCCTGCAACCGAGCATAGAGATGTAAAGTCACTCAGATGTTGGGTGAGACTTGGTTGTAAAGCAGTATGCATACCCGGGTCTCTAAGGTAAAGATTTCCCAGTTCACAGTTTTAACTTCATACTTTTGAAGTCCTTTATTTCAAAAACATAATGAAAAATAAAATCCTTATGCAGTAAATTCCTTGTTTCCTCGTGATCATTCTCCAGAAGGTGAATGTTTATCAATGTATATTTTTGTCACGTAAATCAGCCTCACCCACGAAACCACGACACATGCCCAGGAATGGTCTAAGTGGAAAGGAAGAGAGAGGGGATGCTTTATGAGGGTCAGGGTCCCCTTTAAATTTTGCTATAATTTTTCAGCCCCAACAAGTTGTTACAATTTTACAAATTGATTTTCTCTATTTTTGTATTTGTGGCTAAATGTTTTCTACCTTTTATTTTGTCACTTTTTTTTAGAGAGTCTGTGATTGGGCTGTTGAGAGTAAGAAGATGGAAGTCTGTGTAATGCCCAGTCTCTGTTCCATAAAATGGGACTTTATTATTGATTGTTTCACTTAAAGACAGCATGATTGCATGAAAATTCCATCTATTAGCTTCAGAATGCACACTGAATATCATCAATATTTGAAAGTGAACTCACTCATTATTTTGATCAATTAAATAGTGCTGTCCTAAAGACTCATGAAAAGGGTTAAAAAATGTAGTAAGAAAAAAATGGTTCACAATTATTCCTGCTAATTGTAGTCAGTAATGCATTCAGTTAGATCAAAGAACTTAACTGCATAAATCATTTCAAGGGGTTAATTGAAAGTGAAAAAATGAAAAGGAAATACCAACAGGATGATATTGAAATTAGCAATGTCAATCAAAGTGGGAATAATAGAATAACAAATAAGTTCTTTCTTGTAACTCAACGAATTAAGAAACCTTTATCTTTGCACAGATGTTATTTTCAAAATCCAAGTAATCTTACAAGCACGTAACTCTTACAAGGCTTTACTCAACTCAGGTCACCACTATGCTACTAAGAACAACAACATCCCAACAAATCCCAGTTTCTGTGAGTCTAAGATGTTCCTTTCTCACAACGTTCTCTATCCGATTTGGATTCAAGTTGACTTAAATTTACTTTGAAGTTGCAGGCTAAGACATTTCACCGGAGGAACCTGGCATTGTCACGGTCACAGCATCTGCCTATGCACTTCTGTAGGGCTCCTACCACTTCTTTGTTTCTCAGGCTGTAGATGAGAGGATTGAGCATGGGGGTCACTATGGTGCCCAGCACAGCTCCTACCTGGTCTTGGTCAGGTGTGTGGGAAGAGGTGGGAGTCATGTAGATGAAGATGGCCTGACCAAAATAGAGACTCACGACCGTCAGGTGGGAGGAGCAGGTGGCCAGGGCTTTATTCCTCCCCTTGGGAGAGTTCATCTTGAGGACGGTGAGGAATATGAGGGTGTAGGAGGTCAGGATCAGAGTGAATGGGGCCAGGAGAAAGATAATGGTTGACACAAACTTCACCATTTCGTAGACTGAGGTGTCCACACAAGACATTCTCAGAATGGCGGGCATTTCACAGAAGTAATGATTGATCTTCCTGGAGCCACAGAGCGGAAAATTCATGGGGTAGGCGGTATGAACAAGGGCTGCACCAGCTGCTCCAATCCAGGTGGAGGCGGCCATCTTCAGACAGACCTTGGGACTCATGAGAATGGTGTATCGCAGCGGGTGACAGACAGCCACAAAGCGGTCATAGGCCATTAGTGTCAGCAAGATGCACTCAGCAAGGCCGAGGGTGAGGAAGGAAAACATCTGAGTGGCACAGGCCAAGAAGGAGATGTCCTGCCTCCCGCTGAAGTAGTTGGTGGCCGCCTTTGGCACTGTGGTGGAGATGTAAGCCAGGTCAATGAGAGACAGCTGACTGAGCAGGAAGTACATGGGGGTGTGGAGGCGGGGGTCCAGCCAGATGAGCAGTATTAGGATGGAATTCCCAGCAGAGGCCAGGGCGTAGATGGAGAGGATGAGGAAGATGAGGAGGTTCGGGTACCTGCAGCCGGGAAAAAGCCCCAGCAGGATGAAATCAGCTGTTGTTTTATTCTTCAGATCCATATTTTCATTCAGAGTTTCTCGTAGCAGATGAAAATCTACAATGTTAAATAAAAAGAGAAAGCATTTGGCTGGAACAATATTATTCTCTTGGTCATTGCCTCAGCTCTATCACCCTGGGGCTGAGACTCTGAAAGGGGGGGTTCCACAAGAGAGGTGTTGGGGTGAGGTACAGGAAGAGGGTACCAGGAAGGAGATGGGTATCAGGGGTGATGACAGAAAATCCCAAGTTGCAGGTCACTATGGTCAGTTCAAAACAAACCACTAAAAAACAGCCTGGGATTACCTGAGAGGTTCAAGTGTAAACTACAGGCAGCTGTTAGCTGACCCTAAGCTAAATGTTGGGTAATAGATACAGTCGGCTCTTTCATATCCCAAACCCGCATTCTGAGTTTCAAGTCACACACAGCACTGACTACAAAGTTACCAAGGGTAATATAGTGTGGCTTAGCTCTTCTTCTGTGTTTGGTCTGAGCAGTGGGAGGGTGTCACTCAAATGATGCCCATTGCCCTGAGGAGATCAATTTTTATGCCCAGTCAAATAAAAGCTTTCGCCACCCCCACAACAAAAAGACACTGGCTCTTTATTGTTTTTCTTCTTTGTCCCTTCAGGGTGTGTTATCCTTTCTCTGTCCCCTTCTCAAATGCTTGCTTCTCTTCTCTTCTGCTCCTGGTTTTGTCTGGGTTGTACCTCTAAGAATACACTCCAATGACCAAGATGTTTCTCCTTTTGTCCAGTAATAGAGACATATTAAAATTTCACCCCACTGAAATTTTACCTGGGACTTAGCAAGATCATAGCCTACAATTATTCTGACAAGAACAAATTAATAATTAGTCCCCTAATTGATAACCTCTAACACAATTATTCCTTCTTTTGTCTTTGATTTATTATTATTATTATTATTATTTATATCAATTTTTTTGAGATAGGGTTTCTGTAGCCCTGACAGCTTCTCTTTGATGGTTTAAATGAACATCAGTCTCTTGGAATTCTAGAATCTTACAAATTTCTTTCTCTTTAAAATTATATTATTTTATGTATATGGGTGTTTTGCCTTCATGTGAGTCCCTACCCGTCATGTGTGCAGGACCAAGGAGGCCAGAAGAGGGCATCAGATCCCCTGGAACTAAACCTACAGATGATTGAGAATGGCCATGTCATTTATGGGAACCCAGCCCTCTGCAAGAGCAACCAGTGTCCTAAACTTCTGAGCTATCTCTCCACAACCCATACTCCTTTCCTGAGTGTTCTTTTCCACCGACCTTCACTCCAGAACATCTCCCGAGCTTCCCTGAAAGCCCCTTTACAGTTATACTCAGGAAATTCTAATTGTCTGCCCAAATACGTTAGCTGTTTGTCCTGTTTTACTTACTAGATCCATCAATTGAAAATGATTCACCTCTTCATTAACAACCTGAGAGACAGTGGTTATAGCACTTTGTACATTTTCCTGGTCTTGTTCTTCATCTAGAGAATGTGATGAAAACATTCTTAAGATATATTACAGGTCTGAGGTAAACTCATTGAAATGGTTTCTAAGGTCAGATATTTGAAGAAGTACCGTACTGTGGGCAAAGGTAACACCTGACCTTCCCTCCCAAACAGTGAGACAAATTCCTGTCTACAACTAATGTCCCATATTCTGTTCTCCCACCAAGCTAATCTCCTGTGTCTGCCGTGAAGATGGCCAGCCTGTGATTTTCCTTTTCAAACAACAAACATAGTAAGTTTGGCTTCATTATCAAAAATATACTTTATTTCTTTCTATCCACCCTTAGGTTGCTATGCCTTCTTTTCTGAGGTAAGAAAAATAGCACAACATGTCTTATTAGTCCTGTAAGGTTGCTTCAATTTTTTAAAAAAGCTTAATAAACCCAAACTGTTGGTGTGACAGCTACAAACTTACTTTAGCACATGAAAATGATGGTTCGACAATGAACTATGTAGTTAGATAAGGGACTGTGACTAAATGATGAACAAAGAATAAATTAAAGACACCATCACCACATTTTTTCTCATCAGCACTCATGTTTCAGTCTTCACGAGGCCAACACTGATGGCCTTGGTTCACCTAGAAAGGAAGAAGAAGGAAGTGTGACCCCGGGGTCTTTCTTGTATAAGAGACCACATCCTTTGGATTCTTTCTTGAAAGCACATGGTTTTTTTTGGTCAACCAAACCACAAATTCAGATTTAACTGTAGAATGAGTTCTGTCTGAGTGGTGGGCAGTCAAAGAAGAAACCCTGCCCAAGGTTTTTGTGAAAATGGCAAAAGGCAGATCCTGCATTAAGTGTGGGGGCAGACTGCACTTTTTTTAAGGGAGGAGTTTTATTGGGGAAAGGGAAGGGAATGGGAAAAGCAAGAGCAAGGGAGAGTGGGGAACATAAGGGGGGGAAGAAGGAGGAGGAGGGGAAGCAGAAGCAGAAGCAGAAGCAGAAGCAGAAGCAGAAGCAGAAGCAGAAGCAGAAGCAGAAGCAGAAGCAGAAGCAGAAGAAGGAAAGAAGAAGAGAAGGAGGAAGGGGCCAGAAAAGTCGTGCCTGCTTCCCTTTGGAAGAACAGTAGGGAAGAATCAGACTACAATTTTTAAAAACTCCTTACTCCTCACACTGCCCATAAACTCTACTTTTAGATTATCCAACTACTGTCAGAGAATTCAGGAACATTGGGCACCCGTCTGGACTTCCAGGTTCTTGTGTTTTGGAACACAATATTGGACAGGGGCACATGGGATGCTGCAGTAAAGGAGACATTTCGTTTGTTAAGAAAGAGTATACTTCTAAGGGAGGACGTGAACCCTAGCTGGGAGTAGGGTCAGAAGCGTGATGGGCCTGTGCCCTGGTAGGAAGGGTTGCATCTTTCTCTTTGTGAACTGTTTTTACACGCCAGCTGTAGCCCTCTGCACTTCCCTCTGCCTGTCACTCCTCTGCCTCACAAGGAGAAAAGCAATATTTCAGTAGTGCTTCTCCCAGCCCAAAGTGCAAAAAAAATTCCCCAGAGTGGACCACTAGAGGGCGATGTTCTCTTCCCCCACTGTTATCACAGTCAAGTGTAATAACAGCAATGAACACATACAAGCTGACAGGGTCCTTGGTTCGTGCTGTCCCCACTAACTTTCTCCAGCCTGTGTGAAACCTGGAGTCACTGAACAAAGCTATTCGCTGAATGATCCAAGATCCTTACTGGGTCAGGACAGGCTTTTGATGCTCTACAGTCAACCACTCACTCATCTATAGCACGGGTGCCCCATTTTGATGTTTTGCTTCCTACCTCTTTAACCTGTTGAGGAAGCACATTCCATATGATCATGACTTCAGCGTGGAGAAGATCCTGTCTTTTCTCAGATCCAAACTTAAGCTGTTCTTTCTTTGCAACGTTTCTACCCTGGATCAATGGTTCAAGCACAGGTCACCAATCAAAAGGGCTTCCTTCATGGGGAGCCAAAGCTTTGTTGGTACCTAGCGCTCTTCCTCCTAGACTTTGCTCTCCTGTTTTGTGCTGCAGGGTGAACTTCAGATAGCCCCCATCGCCCTTCTCACTGTGCCCCACAACACTTAGCATCCAATCAGCTCTTGTCTTGAGAAGCCTGACCTCTGACCTGGTCGCCCATGAGAACAGACTCACACATTTCTGATCCACACGTGGCTCAGGTTTGAGAGCAGTGTGCTGGCTCCGTGCTGGCTCCCTGCTGTGTTCTGGCCAGATCAAGAGCTGCTGACTCTTCTGTGTACCAGGGAACTGGGGAACCCTTCAGGGAGTCTCATGGGAGTCTGTCCCCAGACTTCAATTAACCGTAGACCTAAAAACTTGTGATGAAAACCTCGCTGTCCAGTATTCTGTGCTATTTAATGAAATAATAGCTGCATTTCATGTCTCCGTGGAGATGGGAAGGAAGCAGTGTGGCAGGGGTGGCAGAAAGAAACTATGAACAATTAAAGGTCCTTCAGGGTCTCTGGTGACAGCAATCCTATCTTACTGAGGATGGGTTGGGCTTCTAGAAGGACTGAGGAGAAATAGAAATGTTGTCAAAAGGGAGAAGAACCTAAAACAGAGTTCTGATAACCCGAGCTGTTCACAGGATAGTCTGAACTTTAAAGAAAAAATTGTGTACCTGCCTTTTGATCATTCCATCTGAACTGCAATGTTTATGCCACCTTCCCGAGGACCTCCCTCACTCCCTCAGTGCCTCCACCTTACTGCCAACCTCCTCACTCTCCCCTTCATGGTGTCACACCCCAACTTGGGCAGATATCTCCAGCTAGACGAGAAGACCAGAGAGGAAACAGAAACAAAGAAACAACATACCATCCAACAAAGAAAAACTCAGAAATTGGCAGCTAGACAGATAGTCACACCAATCCCAGATGCCTAGCCGTCAGTGTAAGAATGCAATCAACACAACCAAGGCAATAGTCACCACCAGAACCCAGCTATTCTACTACAGTAAGCCCTGAATATTCCAACACAGCTGAAACACAAGAAAAGGACTTTAAAACAAACTTCATAAAGATGATATAAGGCCTTACAAAAGAAGTGGAAAAAGTCCCGTAAAGAAATCAAGAAGGCAAGAAAAAACTAGAGGAAATTAGTAAGATCCTTAAAGAAAGCCAAGAAAGTCAAGGAACAGCAAGCAAACAATGAACAGTTGAAGGAAATGAATAAAACTGTTTGAAATCTGCAAATGGAAATACAGTAAAGAAAACCCAAATGGAGGGAATTCTGGAAATGAAAACTCTAGGTAAGTGAATAGGAACCACAGACGAAAGCATCACCAACAGAATACAAGCAATGGAAGAGAGACTCTTGGGTATTAAGGATATGATAGAAGAAATAGTTACATCGGACAAAGAAAAGCAATTTAAATTCTTGACAGAAAACATCCAGGAAGTCTGGAACACTATGAAATGAGCAAACCTAGGGATAATAGGAATAAAAGAAGGAGAAGAATCCTAGCTCAAAGACCCAGAACATATTTTCAACAAAATCATAGAAGAAAAATTTCCTAACCTAAAGGAGGAGACTCCTGTTGGG